TTTGGAGACTTGACATTCGGGTACAAACCATAGATACCCATGCCAACTTCGGCGGCGTCTCCGTGATCTGGGCCCACCAATTTGTCGGTGCCTTTCTTGCTTTCGAGGTCGTGCCCATTGAGGTAGTTGATGCGGTAGGCGCCATCAGCGTGGCAGTGAGGGCTGCAGCTTGTGGCAGCCGCTTGGCCAAGGAGGGAAGGACCTTCTTCCTGTTGACGTTCAGCATGTTGTCAACGTCCTCATTGATCTCTTCTCGGGTCTTGCCAAAATCCAGCGAGAAACTAATGTGGTGGGCACTAAACGTGGCTGCGTCGTTTCCGGGAAAATTCTTGCAAAATCGGCAAACTCCGGGAAACGCCTGGAAAACCCGGGAAAAACTCTGGAACGGCTTGGAACATGTATCACGCAGTTATTTGAAGATGTTCGTGGATTTCGGAGCATCACGAAGCATGCATATATTTTGTTCTAGGCAATCTGTGGTGATCGTGCGGACTAGCCGGGGGGGGCAATCTTTCTCTTGGCAGATGACACATTGCATCCCATCTTACAATAATTGCGGTATTTAGTCGTTTGAATCATCCCCCCTGCTCGCCGATAGCACATCTCGGCACACACGTTTTTTTTCAGTTTGTTCGCTGTGCAAGCTCATAGTGGGTTCCGTTCCATAGGAGAAACGCCTCTTTGCCATCGGGTGGGCCGAAGCGCCCAGCGCACACTAAGCTGCGGCTTTCCGAAAGAGCCCAGATTGAGATCCTGAGAACAAATGTGTGGTGTTGGCATCCTGCTTCAAACAAGATGATGTATTGATGGTGTTGGTTGCAACAATCATTTTACCTCGATTGTGGTCAGAACCACGTTTGTGCGTTGAACATGTCTTGCAGCAAGCCGCAAGAACAAAATCTACTTGGAGTTAGCTGCTGGAAAAAACCCTGAACCGCATATGGTGGACTAGACTGGAGAGGAAAGCAACTCCAGAGGCATCAGAGGTGCCCAACTCAAGGCTAAAAAGAAGTATAGATTGATGCATCAGGTGCCCAACTGCGGGCAGGAAACCAACTCCAGGCATCAGAGGTGTCCAACTCGAGGCATCAAGGAAACCCAACTCGAGGCATGCTAGATGCCCAACTCCAGGCATGAGAGGTGCCCAACTCGAGGCATCAAACGCGCCCAACTCAAAACATGACAGGTGACCAACTCGAGGCATGAGAGGTGCCTAACTCGAGGCATCAAAGGTGGGTGCCCAGCTCGAGGCTTCAAAGGTGCTCAAGTCGAAGCATGAGAGGTGCCCAACTCGAAGCATCAAAGGTCCCCAACTCGAGGCATGAGAGGCGCCCAACTCGAGGCATGAGAGGCGCCCAACTCGAGGCATGAGAGGTGCCCAACTCAATGCATGACAGGTGCTTAACTCAAAGCATCAAAGGTGCCCAACTCGAGGCATCAGAGGTGCCCACCTCAAAACATGACAGGTGCCTAGCTGAAGGCTTCAAAAGTGCCCAACTCGAGGCATTTTTAAAGGTGCCCAACTCGAAGCTGAGAGGTGCCCAACTCATAGCATGAGAGGTGCCCAACTCGAAGCATCAAAGGTGCCCAACTCCAAGCATCAAAGGTGCCCAACTCACGGTGTGGGAGGTGCCCAACTCGGAGCATCAAAGGTGCCCAACTCGAAGCATGAGAGGTGCCCAACTCATACCCAACTCGAAGCATGAGAGGTGCCCAGCTCGAGATTCAAAGGTGCCCGACTCGAAGCATCAAAGGTGCCCAACTCGAAGCATCAAAGGTGCCCAGCTCGAAGCATGAGAGGCGCCCAACTCATACCCAACTCGAAGCATGAGAGTGCCCAGCTCGAGCACTCGGCAGCATCAAAGGTGCCCAACACTCGAAGCATCAAGGTTGCCCAACTCGAGCATATAGTGGCGCACCTCACACCCAACTCCGAGGCATGAGAGGTCCCAACTCGAGGCATGAGAGGCGCCCAACTTCGAAGCCTCACAGGTGCCCAACTTGGGGGGGTGGAGGCATGAGAGGTGCCTAACTCGAGGCATGAAAGGTGCCCGACTCGAAGCATCAAAGGTGCCCAACTCGAGGCATGAGAGGCGCCCAACTCGAAGCATCAAAGGTGCTCAACTTGAGGCATGAGAGGTGCCTAACTCGAGGCATGAAAGGTGCCCGACTCGAAGCATCAAAGGTGCCCAACTCGAAGCATGAGAGGTGCCCAACTCATACCCAACTCGAAGCATGAGAGGTGCCCAGCTCGAGCATCAAAGGTGCCCAACTCGAAGCATCTAAGGTGCCCAACTCGAAGCATCAAAGGTGCCCAACTCGAAGCATGAGAGGTGCCCAGCTCGAGCATCAAAGGTGCCCAACTCGAAGCATCAAAGGTGCCCAACTCCAAGCATCAAAGGTGCCCAACTCGAAGCATGAGAGGTGCCCGACTAGAAGCATCAAAGGTACCCAACTCGAGGCATCAAAGGTGCCCAACTCGAGGCATGAGAGCTAGGTGCCCAGTTCGAGCATCAAAGGTGCCCAACTCGAAGCATCAAAGGTGCCCAACTCGAAGCATGAGAGGTGCCCAGCTCGAGCATCAAAGGTGCCCAACTCGAAGCATCAAAGGCGCCCAACTCGAAGCATCAAAGGTGCCCAACTCGAAGCATGAGAGGTGCCAAACTCATACCCAACTCGAAGCATGAGAGGTGCCCAACTCGAGCATCAAAGGTGCCCAACTCGAAGCATCAAAGGTGCCCAACTCAAAGCATCAAAGGTGCCCAACTCGAAGCATGAGAGGTGCCCAACTCATACCCAACTCGAAGCTTGAGAGGTGCCCAGCTCGAGCATCAAAGTTGCCCAACTCGAAGCATCAAAGGTGCCCAACTCGAAGCATCAAAGGTGCCCAAGCATGAGAGGTGCCCAACTCATACCCAACTCGAGGCATGAGAGGTGCCCAGCTCGAGCATCAAAGGTGCCCAACTCGAAGCATCAAAGGTGCCCAACTCGAAGCATCAAAGGTGCCCAACTCGAAGCATGAGAGGTACCCAACTCATACCCAACTCGAAGCATGAGAGGTGCCCAGCTCGAGCATCAAAGGTGCCCAACTCGAAGCATCAAAGGTGCCCAACTCGAAGCATGAACGGCGCCCAACTCGAAGCATGAGAGGTGCCCAACTCATACCCAACTCGAAGCATGAGCGGTGCCCAGCTCGAGCATCAAAGGTGCCCAACTCGAAGCATCAAATGTGCCCAACTCGAAGCATCAAAGGTGCCCAACTCGAAGCATGAGGGGCGCCCAACTCATACCCAACTCGAAGCATGAGAGGTGCCCAGCTCGAGCATCAAAGGTGCCCAACTCGATCGCATCAAAGGTGCCCAACTCAAAGCATCAAAGGTGCCCAACTCGAAGCATGAGAGGTGCCCAACTCATACCCAACTCGAAGCATGAGAGGTGCCCAGCTCGAGCATCAAAGGTGCCCAACTCGAAGCATCAAAGGTGCCCAACTCGAAGCATGAGAGGTGCCAAGCTGGAGCCTCAAAGGTGCCCAACTCGAAGCATCAAAGGTGCCCAACTCGAAGCATCAAAGGTGCCCAACTCGAAGCATGAGAGGATATGAGAGGTGCCCAACTCATACCCAACTCGAAGCATGAGAGGTGCCCAGCTCGAGCATCAAAGGTGCCCAACTCGAAGCATCAAAGGTGCCCAACTCGAAGCATCAAAGGTGCCCAACTCGAAGCATGAGAGGTGCCCAACTCATACCCAACTCGAAGCATGAGAGGTGCCCAGCTCGAGCATCAAAGGTGCCCAACTCGAAGCATTAAAGGTGCCCAACTCGAAGCATCAAAGGTGCCCAGCTCGAAGCATCAAAGGTGCCCAGCTCGAAGCATCAAAGGTGCCCAACTTGAGGCATCATGTGGCCGGAATATGGGGTAACGCGGCTGAAACACCGCCACGTTTGAGCATGGTGCTTGCCCACAACACCAAAAGGGGGAGAGCGGCTGAAATGGTGGGCCGGAATAGGGGCTGAGACACCGCCACGTTCAATGCGGGCTGAGACGCCGCCACGTTTGAACACCCACAAGATGAAGAGGGGACAGGGACTGAAGCTCCCACGCTACCCCGCCATGTCAAGGGAAATTGGCTTTGTGGGCTGGAAGGGGGGGGCTGAGACACCGCCACGTCGGAGAACGGGGGTGCTAGGTGGAAAAGGCGTGCCTTGGCTAAGTCATGATGTACCCTTTTTTTCCGAGAACTGTCGTTCTCGGAAGAACGACCAAGCACATATGTGTCCCGCAGGAAACTTCACGATATCACGGATAAATCGGGAAAAGACGGGAAAGATCGGGAATCTTCGGGATTTCACGGGTAAAGTGGGGATACAACAGGAAGAATCCGGAAATTTCATGAAATTTCGGGAAAGCACGGGTAAAGTCGGGAAAAGTCGGGATTTCAAAGCAAAGATCGGGTATGAGTTGGGCACCTCTCATGCTTCGAGTTGGGCACCTTTGATGCTTCGAGTTGGGCACCTTTGATGCTCGAGCTGGGCACCTCTCATGCCTCGAGTTGGGTATGAGTTGGGCACCTCTCATGCTTTGGGCACCTTTGATGCTTCGAGTTGGGCACCTTTGATGCGAGTTGGGCCTTTGATGCTTCGAGTTGGGCACCTTTGATGCTTCGAGTTGGGTATGAGTTGGGCACCTTTGATGCTTCGAGTTGGGCACCTTTGATGCTTCGAGCTGGGCACCTCTCATGCCTCGAGTTGGGCACCTCTCATGCCTCGAGTTGGGCACCTTTGATGCTTTTCGGGCACCTCTCATGCTTCGAGTTGGGCACCTTTGATGCTTGGAGTTGGGCACCTTTGATGCTTCGAGTTGGGCACCTTTGATGCTCGAGCTGGGCACCTCTCATGCTCATGCCTCGAGTTGGGCACCTCTCATGCTTCGAGTTGGGTATGAGTTGGGCACCTCTCATGCTTCGAGTTGGGCACCTTTGATGCTTCGAGTTGGGCACCTTTGATGCTCGAGCTGGGCACCTCTCATGCTTCGAGTTGGGTATGGGTTGGGCACCTTTGATGCTTCGAGTTGGACACCTTTGATGCTTCGAGTTGGGCACCTTTGATGCTGAGCTGGGCACCTCTCATGCTTCGAGTTGGGTATGAGTTGGGCACCTCTCATGCTTCGAGTTGGGCACCTTTGATGCTTCGAGTCGGGCACCTTTCATGCCTCGAGTTAGGCACCTCTCATGCCTCAAGTTGAGCACCTTTGATGCTTCGAGTTGGGCGCCTCTCATGCCTCGAGTTGGGCACCTTTGATGCTTCGAGTCGGGCACCTTTCATGCCTCGAGTTAGGCACCTCTCATGCCTCAAGTTGGGCACCTTTGATGCTTCGAGTTGGGCACCTCTCATGCTATGAGTTGGGCTCCTCTCATGCCTCGAGTTGGGCACTTTTGAAGCCTTCAGCTAGGCACCTGTCATGTTTTGAGGTGCTCATGCCTCGAGTTGGGCACCTTTCATGCTTTGAGTTAAGCACCTGTCATGCCTTGAGTTGGGCACCTCTCATGCCTCGAGTTGGGCGCCTCTCATGCCTCGAGTTGGGGACCTTTGATGCTTCGAGTTGGGCACCTCTCATGCTTCGACTTGGGCACCTTTGAAGCCTCGAGCTGGGCACCCACCTTTGATGCCTCGAGTTGGGCACCTCTCATGCCTCGAGTTGGTCACCTGTCATGTTTTGAGTTGGGCGCGTTTGATGCCTCGAGTTGGGCACCTCTCATGCCTGGAGTTGGGCATCTAGCATGCCTCGAGTTATTGGGTTTCCTTGATGCCTCGAGTTGGACACCTCTGATGCCTGGAGTTGGTTTCCTGCCCGCAGTTGGGCACCTGATGCATCAATCTATACTTCTTTTTAGCCTTGAGTTGGGCACCTCTGATGCCTCTGGAGTTGCTTTCCTCTCCAGTTGGGCACCTTCGATGCTTCCACTTCCACTTCTGCACCTCGAGTTGGGCACCTGTCCTGCCTCCAGTTGGGCATCGTTGATGCCTGGAGTTGGGCATCTCTCATGCCTCGAGTTGGGCGCCTCTCATGCCTCGAGTTGGGGACCTTTGATGCTTCGAGTTGGGCACCTCTCATGCTTGGACTTGGGCACCTTTGAAGCCTCGAGCTGGGCACCCGCCTTTGATGCCTCGAGTTGGGCACCTCTCATGCCTCGAGTTGGTCACCTATCATGTTTTGAGTTGGGCGCGTTTGATGCCTCGAGTTGTGCACCTCTCATGCCTGGAGTTGGGGATCTAGCATGCCTCGAGTTATTGGGTTTCCTTGATGCCTCGAGTTGGACACCTCTGATGCCTGGAGTTGGTTTCCTGCCCGCAGTTGGGCACCTGATGCATCAATCTATACTTCTTTTTAGCCTTGAGTTGGGCACCTCTGATGCCTCTGGAGTTGCTTTCCTCTCCAGTTGGGCACCTTCGATGCTTCCACTTCCACTTCGGCACCTCGAGTTGGGCATCTGTCCTGCCTCCAGTTGGGCATCGTTGATGCCTGGAGTTGGGCATCTCTCATGCCTCGAGTTGGGCGCCTCTCATGCCTCGAGTTGGGGACCTTTGATGCTTCGAGTTGGGCACCTCTCATGCTTCGACTTGGGCGCCTTTGAAGCCTCGAGCTGGGCACCCACCTTTGATGCCTCGAGTTGGGCACCTCTCATGCCTCGAGTTGGTCACCTGTCATGTTTTGAGTTGGGCGCGTTTGATGCCTCGAGTTGGGCACCTCTCATGCCTGGAGTTGGGCATCTAGCATGCCTCGAGTTGGGTTTCCTTGATGCCTCGAGTTGGACACCTCTGATGCCTGGAGTTGGTTTCCTGCCCGCAGTTGGGCACCTGATGCATCAATCTATACTTCTTTTTAGCCTTGAGTTGGGCACCTCTGATGCCTCTGGAGTTGCTTTCCTCTCCAGTGTAACCAGTGTCACCACCCGGTCTGCCCAGCGCCTTGCCGCTCCAGCTGTCACCGCGCCCCCATACCGGAGGATCAAGGAGCCTTCCGAAAAGCTTGCAGCACTGACGCTGCACTGACGAGCAGCCAAAGCAGCTTTCACTGTCTGCTCTAACTTCTTCAGGTCGTAGTGGCCCGGTATTCCAACCTGCGACCACCGATACAAAATCCCAACGTGGGTGCGAACCTGATACAGCCCATACTCCTGATTCTACAAGCCTATCGAATTGCAGAAAGATCAATAAAGACCAGCAAAAGGAAAATGCAGCATGCCAAATCACAGCTCCCACCTTGAAGTGCTTTGCTTTCGCTGCTTCTTTCATGAGAGGACCAGCGCATCAGCTCATCTTGGGCCAGAACTCTGCACACATGAAATCTAATGAAATCTAGAGTTTCAGCCATCAACAAAGGCCAGTTTGGTGGAGTAGTGGGCATTTGACCTTCAATTCAATTTCCTGCCAGCCAGTCCTTTCAACAACACCGTCAGGTGATTTCATGCTTTAAACCAAACACAGAGGGTCCAGAAAGTTTTCTGGAGTTTCCTGATTTTTCATGATGTCTGGCAGCGGGGACACCACCACGTTTACCAACATCCACGTTAGTTTTTTTATGAAGATTGTCTGATTCACTCAGGTAGTCTCTGCCCAGAACCACATTCGGGCAGAGTCTCTCTTCAAAATGCTTATCGCAGAGCAAACCCGTAAGGAATGTGCATCGGATTTCCATGCAATGGTTCAGCGTCATGAGAACATCGGCAACTGTCATCCCATGGTCACGTTTCAGGACCACATTTCCTTTTCCTGTGAGGACGGCAATGCATGAACCCATGTTTTCGGAAAGCTGGAATGCAGACGGATGCACACGCAAGGCACTGGGTACTTCAGCATACAGAAAGACATCACTGTCATCTGCCTGAAAGCATGTTGGCAAAGTAACTCTGGAGTCAAGCATACCACCAGGCATCAAAAAGACATGATTCGGCATGGAGTCACCTGTCAAAGTCTTCAATGCATCAACAAGACACACCCCTGCCTCAGCATGGAACTGGAAAGCATCAGTTGGTGATCGTACCGTGACAAGGCATGTCGCATGCATCATCATGGTGGGTCTGCATGTTTCTCCATCACGGCTGAAAAGGAAACCATTCAATTTTCTTTCAATTTTGATGGACGATGCAACTAGTCGGCTTTTCATGGCTTCACAGAAGAGTTCCTGAGCTTCAACACCTGACAAGTCAGTGAGGAGACCAAGACAATTCACCAGGACCACCAGTGCATGCGGACAGGATATTCCGTTGCCAATCATTTTCACTGCTGACCGATGATCTTCCGGCATCCACACTGGCATCAAAGGGGCCATCAGCATTGCAAGTTCCGGGACAGCAAGAAATCTCAGTGCCTCTGCTGATGCAAAAAGCGTGCCATAGAGACCAAAGGTATTCAGGCTGATTTGGGGGAGCAGGTGTCCAAAACCATAATTGCTCATTACACATCCAAAGGTTCCCTGGATAAACTTGATGCGGTATTGCTCAACATCCAACTTGGTCTTTTTTCCCCGCTGGTTTCTTTGGTTCACTGACTTGGGCAACATCGCAGGGTCCATGTAGACCCCAAGTGTGAAAGCATCAAGTTTCACCTGAGACAACCACGGTTCATCCAGTTTCAGAATGCAATCAAATGTTTCCAAGGTAGGACGGACGACTGCAGGCCAAGGGACAATCCTATGAGGAAAGAACTCAACTCCATCCAATGTGGCAATCAGCAAAAGTCTTTCACGGTTTTGCGGTGCTTGTTCCAAGAGATTGACAACAGAGGACGACCTAATGGAGTAACCACTCCATTCAATCACATCACGGATCAGTCTCCAGTGCTCATGGTTGCGCATCCCTGCTACCATCTCCATTGCCATGATCTTGGGTTTCAACAAATTGGCCATTCCCCAAACTTCCAAAGTGAGTCTGCCATCTTCTTTCATCAAGCCCTGCCATGAACTAGCCATGGAGAAAGCCGGACATGGTGGTGACAGCAACATGATATCAAAAGCAGTCGTCCCAAGTAAATGGTGCCAACTGCCAACGCGTGCATCTCCCTGGATGAACAGGTGATTTGGAAGTTCTTCCTCATCCCATCTGAAGACATCTGGTCCACACATGTTTTGGAACAAGTGTGTGTTCATATACGTCTGGGCTGCGACTGGGTCTATGTCCAAGGCAATTTTATGGGTGAACTTGTAGCCAAGCTGGCACAGGCGCCTAAGAGCATGAGACCAACCCGAAAAGCCACCAGCATACCACTCACATGTTGTGAACTCTCCATTGACACCTTCTTGAATGCGATTTCCAGGGGTGGTCAATACCCCGGATGGTTTCGATCTGACATCAAGCTCAAAACCCTTCAAGACACCTTGGTAGACAATGAAGTCCATGTTCTTGGAACAAACATGGTCCCATTGGTTCATTGACATTCTCACTTGGAAGGAAAGGTCGATATCATGAGCGCACCTTCTCACACCGAAAGTCATGTTTCCAAACCCAGACTGGTGAGCTGTTCCTTCACGCAAAACTTTGACATTCACCAACACATAGGCATTGCTCATGACAACTTGGCCATACCGTTCTACATGGCATGTGTGTAAGTCAACGCATGGACAAATGTGATCGCTACAGGCATACTTCTTGGTCACATCCAGTGTGTACAGAAATGGAGACTTCAAATCCATGGCGCCAATCGGTTAGCAGCTGTAGATGCTTTTCCAGCTACGCCCCGGGGAGGCTTGGGCCTCATAGCTATCCAACTTTTGACCCTAATGTGGATCACTATTATAGATTTCCTTGCCATGCCATCTGGCTGTTATCACACCTGATCGCGGGAAAAAACGGTCCATAAACAGCAAGTTTGCTAGTACATGTGATGCTGATCCAGAAGACAACCAGACCCATGAACCAAGAGTCAGACGGAGGACCATTTCTGGTTTGGTTCAATCTAAAACATTCGAAATATATATTACGTATTGTATAATATAATATACCACGGTTTTCTGAGCGGACTTATTTCAGGTGATTGGAAGAACCAGAGGGTTCAAATATGAGACCTTGATTTCGAACCGATGGATGGTTCACCAGCCTGAAACCGTGGAATAGGCCAACGCTTTGATCTTCCTAGTTCGGCTTCCCCTAGTGGGTCACAATAATCCAAGATCACTTTCCACTGAACCCCGCAGTACACCTCTCAAAACTCCCACTTTGAATCCGAAAACTTGTGGGGAAAATGAGTTTGCGACTGGAAACCGCCGCCCCGAGAGCAGAAAAAGCCAGGGATTTTACAAGTGTCAGCTTAATTTTTGGTGATTGCTTGCCAGACGACTAGATCTTTTCGGAAGAAAAGCTCCCACCTGCTCTGTAGTCGGCCTCGGTCAGAAAGTACCTCCAAACAGTTCGGCGAACTGGATGACAGATGATGACAGAAGGTTGATGAAATTTATCCCATCTTTTGGCAGTTGGTTTCTGGGGATGGTTAATAGGAAGGGGGAAGGGATAAATATTTATCCATTGTCCATTGCTCAATATTAAAAATGCTGCATGTTTCGGCACCAAAACACGATCAAGTGACAAATGTATACAACTCTGTGGTTCCATTCCATTTGTCAATATTAAGTCATATTAAGTCATATTTTTAGATTTTTTTGAAACGTAAGGGAACCAATTATGGGTGCCCAAGGCTGTGCCCAAACAGATCACCCAGCTGCCAATCGGAGGGAGCACTGAAAGTAATCCGTGCGCAGGACACAGTACCTCGAACAGAAAGGGCGCTGGGACATGACTTGGGGTTTAGGGTCATTCCATTTCCCATGACGGATCCATGGTGCTGGTATATATGCTAACATAAAGGGGGTATATTGATGGGATAAATGTTACCATATATAGCATACATGGATTCTATGGGTTTGGCAGCAGGGGACCAAAAACTAATACAGTATACACAAACTGTGTGTGTGCTCTAACAAGAAGTTCACACGGGAAGCGTTTTCGCTCGGCAAGAGAAACCGCATCATTTAGAAAAGAACTGCAATCTCTGTTGAGCAGATTGTCTTCACGCTTCTTTTAGAGCAATACGAAAACAACGGAACATATCGAAGCGTCCTTTCCTGGGTAAAAAGTCAAGACCCCCGATCGCAAATTTGCTCATGTTTTGCGTCAATCGTCAAAGTGTTGCGGTTGAAATCATAATTTCGGTTCGTGCAATCCCCTGTTTTTTGGGTGTCAAAACACCACGTAAACGCGTTTCTTGATTCCCAATCATCGTTCTGATGTTCCCTTTTATAGTTATACTTGAATCCTGATGTTGAGTCTAAAAGTGATAGCCAAATCTCAACTTTTGTCGCCTCACCATCCACATTTGTGGCTTGGCAATTACTCCAATATTGGACCGCCTGGGCTCCTCTTTGTTTTTTTTCTTCACCATCAACTCGCCTTCACCTCGACCAACAGGGAAGTTCCGGCCATGCGGCTTTGATTGCGGATGGAAAGGGAGTTAACTTACGCCCAGCTCCATGGCTTGCTGGAAAATGTCCAATCAGTTCTAAACCTCATGAACACATATGAAAACAAGGATTTTCAACTGCCAGGTGTGTTTATCAGCGGGCATCGCACCAACCATCCCATGACTTTTGGATACTTTTGGGGGTTACCCAATCTTGAACTATTCCATTATTCCCAAATAGAAGACAGTTGGGCCCATATGACTCATAGGACTCATTTAGATTATCCCCAAGTCTAACAAGAAAATCCTGAAACCAATTGTTGGTAGCAAAGCGATGGATTGAAAACATGCTAGATTCTGTCCAGAATGTGCCCTCAACTTTTCCATGAATATCATTGGCGATGCAAGCGAGACTTAGATCGTCCAGCTTTTAGGTCCCCCGGCAGAGCACCGCATGCCCAACCTGGCATGGATCGGGATTCTCAGCGACACATCAAAGGTTGCTTAAAAACAAGAATGCTGTGGTCATAAGCTATTTTCTGTCCATTTTTAGAGGTGCAAAAAAAAAGTGTTCTAGTTTTGTGTTTTTTTTGTTTTTTTATGTCATTCAATCCTTTGTTCAAAAACATTTAAGTGTATGTCTTAATGGTATTTCATGGTATTATATATATATATTAATAGTAGAAAATTCATCCCATTCTGCCAGTAGGGTCTGATATTGGGCCACTCTGCCGCATTTGTTGGGATTTCCCGGTGGCTCAGCAACGCGAGGAAGAGCGACTCCAGGTGTGGTTGTACCTCGGAAGATCTTCGTAGTGTGGGTGTGTGGGTGTGTAACGTAGTGTAATGATGATCTAATGTAACCCATAGGATCTATGTATGCTATATATGGTAACATTTACCATCAATATACCCCAAATGTTAGCATATATACCATACATGGATCCTATGGGTAATGTAATGTTATGTAATGTTATGCAACCTTATGTAATGTCATGTACGGTAATGTAAGGTCATGTTGGGTCATGTTGCGTTATTGAGTTTTTATGTAATGTCATGAAATGTTATGTGTTGCAACGCGACCTCATGCAATGTAATGCAATGTAATGTAAAGCAATGCAATGTAATGTAGTGCAATGTAATGCAATGCAATGGAATGGAACGACATGGAATGGAATGTTATGCTATGTTCCGTAATGTATAAGCATGTAATATATATGTATATATATATATTAGATTGCAATGTAGTGTAATGTATCGTAATGTAACATAATGTAACATTAATGTAACGTCACGTATATGATATAATGTTATGTTATATATGTATATACTGTTATATCATATGTAATTTATGTTACCGCCAGGACGGGGTGCTGCCCGCCAAAGTGCGCTTTGACTGGGCAAGGCCAGTGTTTTATGCATTTTGGGATGACCGAATGGCCACGAGCCTTGTTTCCAAAACACAAAACCCTAAACCCCAAAACCTAAATCTGACATGAAACCCTAAGTAAGCCTTGAAATTAAAAGCTTATTAAAACCGTGGTTTAACAAACAAAAAACAACTCTTAAATGAAATCCTAGATAAACCCTGGGGAAACCCTATGCAGTATCTACATATATATATATATATACAAGCGTTTGAAGCGAAAACGAAATTGTAGTGGCAAATACGTGCATGTACTAAACATCAAACATATACTAACATGTAAAAGGCGGCAGTGCTGTGGATCCAGGCTACAGCGATGCTGTATGGGGAGTTTTCTCAAGATTGAACCCCATTCCATCCCGTGATTTATCATCATATTACCCATTCAAATGGTCATGAACTGAGGTCTCACTGTTTTTGACACAAAGCCAAAAGGATGTGTCCAAAAAAAAAACATCTTAGACTTGGGAAACAACCTTATATTTTTCCCCGCGTTTTCCCATGAGCTTTCCTGGGGTACCCAGGTACCCTAATTAATAACACCAAAACATCGTCGCCTTCACTGGACTTCACCTATGCTCCCACACCACTCACACTGGCACTGGCGTGGCCACTGTCAGGGCCTGTGGGGATAGGGGAAACCCGCCATGGATGGGTGTCAAATTTGAGAGCTGGCAGGCACCATCTCATTTCTGCACTGTTGGAGATCTCATGAACCTCATGGATGCACACTTGTCACTTGTCACTGGCAATGTTTTGCTGACGCAGGTTGCGGAGGCAACCAAAGTCCACAAAACCGTTGTCTGGCTTTGATTGACTTGTTTAAGTCTACATACAGATCAAGTTGCTCTCTATTACAAGTATCAAACAATATTGCAAGAGAATCAACATGGGGAGCTCCCCAAACAGAAGCCTACTGCATCAAGGAATCTGGTTGATATCAAGGTCACAGCAACCACATTAGAAGCTAAGCCAAGGTGAACCCCCATGGGATAAAAGCCTGAAATATTTGACCTTGGCTGCCATGGATGATGAAGCACAAAACCCTCAAGTCTGGTCAGGCCTTTCACAAAGTTGGCCTCAGAGAGCCAGCGGGCCCCAAAATTCGGGGACGGGATCATCCCAGAGTGCAAAGCCATAGTAGCAACAAATATCAACAAATAATATCTGGCTGACTTATGTAATAATTCACCAACCTGAAATATGTCTTCATTTGAGATGATTCCTTCTAACCATCGTGCTCCATAGTGACCATCAATGACCATCATGTATACATACTGTATGACGGCGTTGTGACGGCGATGTTATGACCATCTCCAGCCATGGTATCCCCCAGACTCAACCCAGGCACTCCCAGGCTCTTTGCAAGAACCTGTTGAAAGGCTTGCGTCCACTGCTTGAACTCCTGAAGGCGGAGGTGAGTCCCTAGGGTAAGCAGCAAACAAACATCTCAGAGATTTCTCAATTTTCATCCAGACTTTTTGTTGTTTGCCAGCAGAGCCCAACTCGGAAAACATTCCAAAAACATCCAAAAACTAGGCCATACCATCTGCAGGGGCCTTGGCGTCGTCCAGAAAAAGCTCCAGGGGTTTCTTCTGATCCCTGACCCAGCAGCGGAAGATGAGATCGTGGCTTCGGAGCACCAGTCATTCCAAGGAGTCAGAGAAGAGTCCGGCATCTGAGTTTTCAGCGGGCCTCCAAATTTTCATGATTTGTAAAATCACAATTTTGCCATTTTTCCATAATTCGAATAGTAATTCTTAAATGTAGACCTCCCATTCTTTACCCCAGGCGGCTCGGGTGCCTCACTTCAATGATGAATCGGTTGTCCTTGACCTCAGCAAACAAACATACCCTCCGGTCATCAAAGATGGCAATGGGAAATCCCACATTTATAGATGGATTTCCCAGCTATAAACCTCCATTATATATAGGGGATTTCCTATTGCCACGTTTAAGTTTAAATACCGGAAGGTATCAGTGAATATGATATATGTTCCTGAAATCTATTGTAGGATAGAGAGTAATAGATGTAATAGAGATCCAAGATATAAAAAAAGATGAACACAGCAAGAGATTGGCTTGGACAAGAATGTTCCTGTCCAAAATTGCCATCTTGAGGGGCTGATGTCCATCCGCGAATTCTGGAGCTTTGAATCCACACAAAAAAAATCGCCAGGCGATCAGTTTCCCCAACGACAGTGATAGATCCACAACATCAATGGCTAAACACTCCACACTGATTTTACACCATTTCTGTTTATCTTTGTCCATTGGCTTTCCTGCCCACCGTGATTTACAGATAACAATAATATATCGGCTTCGATAAAATATTGACCCATACCTATATGACATGTCTTGTATCACAATGTATATATATAGAGATATGCTTGCATAGGATATGCATAGTATGTGACGTGTAGCATGTATATATCATATACCTATATACTTATATATATATACATGCGTGCATCTTCATTCCTTGTAATTGATATATGTATTAATTACACATAGTATATATTGTATATCTCATAATTATACATATCATGTACATATATATATATATATTATGTATGTCTTCAATATATAGCAGAATGCTATAAACAATCATGTGCAACGCCCATCATTTAGTTGGCTTCTCCGAGTGACTGTGAGCCGCTCGACGGCCGAGAGGAGCTGTGAACCCCGCGGCTCCTGGCCAAAGTTTCACTGTTTGGAGGGAAAACCTACAGGAAAGCTTGACTTTAACATGTGTTTAGTATGTTTTATATTGTGTTGATGGTAACTTTCATTGCCAGATAATGCCAAATTCAGGAGGCTCCTGTGAATTTTGCCTTTAATTCACCCACTAATCACAGATGGATCAAGCATCATCAATGTATGGGGTGTATGGCTATGGTTCTTGCTTGTCCTGGATGGCTTAGGGCTCAACATGACAAATTCTGTACCCACCGAAAATGTGTGGTAAGTTGAGGTCCAGTAGTTTTGGGACCCCCCAAAATTAGAAGATAAATGACTTGCCATAACCTCCCAGATTCTTATTGTATATATAGTTATATATGATTATATAATATTATATATACGTGTATATATCTATATATGATATCAAACATCGAGCAAGTAAACATATGCAAATATCACCTGCTAATCCCATCCTGCTATTATATACATATATACAGTATATATAACAATATATATTGAAACACCCAAACTACGCCCTGGTTTTAAGATGTTGGAATTTATTCATAACTTGGGGTCCCCAAGTCAGGTGGTAGGTGGCATGAAAGGGCTGAAGAAAGACTGTATCATGTTGAGAATTGATCACAAATGCTATTGAAACATAGTCCAACTTGTTAAATGCTTCACAAATTCACATTCGCCAATGGTGAAGGTAGTGGCCGCGTAGGATTTTCATGTTGCCGACAACGACCTCCAATGAGGTCCTGAACGATCCTAAATCAAAGAAAGATCATGAGATAAACTTGAACCATATCACGAACCATCCCCAATATCACCATGTTTGAGTCACTTAGTCGTATCTAATTCTAATAATTATCTGCAGTAAAATATTTCAAAACTATCCTCTCCTGATATCCTATCTATACAATATAAAGGTGTGCTATGTAAACCCTCCGCCCACCTGGCCACTCCGGAAGTCGTCTTCGCTATCGTGACGATCCAAGCCTCGGAAAATCCACTGACTTAGTGGCTAGAGACATGTAGAGACTATGGAAAAACCATGGAAAATGTAGGGAAAAACCATGGAAAACCAATCAATGGATTGCAAACCACAGAAAAATGTAGGGAAAAACCATGGAAAAACCGGTTTGGGATGGTTTGGGCCGGTCTGGGATACATTGGCATAGCATATTTTGATCACTTACCTCTTGGTTGGGGCCCGGGGAGTTGACAACTGTACAACACTATATGCAGGGGATTGGCTCAGAAGTGGTGGTGCCTACGTGGGAGTTGACCGGGAAAAGAAATTCATAATTCATAATAATCCCCACCTACAAGTATATATATATCATATCTGGATATATTCTCAGAATTCTATCGCTCTTTCTCTGCTACTTGGACCTGTATCCCAATAAGTAAGTCGGTAATAACTTGTCATAGCTGAAGCAAACCTATCATCAGGATATACGCGCGCTGTACACGGGTGATTGTCCACTTGCGACTTGGGTTCCACTGGCAATGGGGATTTAACCACTATTCAGTGGCGACTTCTTCAGGAATATGTTGGGAAGAAGCCATAATAATGGGTGTATAATGGCATATGTAACCAACACGATGATATGTGGGTGAGGGCGTGTACAGAAATGGGGACACCCCAATTCATCGCAAAAAACAAATAGTAAAACAAACCATTTGATAATGGGATACCGTACCCGTTTTGGGACGAATCATGAGAGATCCGTAGACTGCAATTCAGGATGTAGTTTTCATGGCGCGCCCATTTAGCAACCATTCATTCTTTACCTGAAACAGCAAGGAAGTGGAACAAGGGTTGCCACGGTTGCCCCACGGAATAATCCCTGTGGCAGCAGTGCTGATCAGATCAGCTAAGCTTCAGGCTGTCTTCGTAAAGCACAAACAAATAGGAAGTGACCTGCAAGTGACCAAGAACCCTGGCTAGTAAGTCCCCCAAGTGGGCTTATCCATGATTATCCCAGTTCCATTGATGTCCCCAGATCGAATCAGTTGCAGATCTGTTGAGATTGGAATAGATCAATCATGGTACTTTTCGCTTCTCCCCGGCCAATTTTTTTGAATAAATCCATATAAATCCCCATTTCCTCCCTGCCAAAAAATGAAATGTCAATCCTACAATCCTCCAAAGAGATTTCGAAATGTTCTGAACACTGCAGTGGGGCGAACCTTGCCCTTGCGCTCTGCGTTCAAAGTACCAACATGCTTCGCCTTGGCGCGACTTGGAGTATTGATGGGTGACCATATGGGTGTCACTACAGCAGTACCAATGCAGGACAATGATCTATATAATAGACAGGGCTATTTCTTTGCCAGCAAGGATTTATAAGGGCTGAAACCTGGGAAAATAAAGAGGTAAAATGAATTAAAATGACCCATGTCTCTGCCTTGTTGCTATGATTCACAATAGGTTCGAGCAACCCTGAAATAGTTGGAGATCACCATGTGATAATAAGTATACAGATGTATACAGTACATAATTATGCCGGATAATTCTGGATAATTGCGGATCTTGTGGTATAATTTTGTCATCAACGACCCCCAATGACTTATCAGAAATGGCTTGGATCTCGACCATCCCAAATTGGAGCAAAGCGCTGCTGGCTGTACCGCATTAAACCAATTTTCTGGCATTGCCAATCCCTTCCCCGAAAAAGATATACCCAACAAACAAAACCCTGCCAATTAATTGATGAATCTGTAACATGGAGTTATTCAAGATTGGGGGACGGGATTCTTGCTGAATCTGCTCAGTGCCTATTTGTGTGACCTACCACTCAAACCATCCACTGCAATGGTATGACTCATGCAGCTTCCCATGCAATGCGTAGCCTTTTCGACATTACCAGCTTCTAGCGCCGGGTCTGGTGTCCTCTTCTGAGTCCAGGAACAGCAAATAAGCTCAACAATGGGGCCACTGACACCTGTGGATACTTGAGATATTCCGTCTATCATAGCTTGGTGGTAACTTGGTGATAACATTGAGCCCCTCACCAACTTGGGATGGTGCCCATCTGTTGCTGGAAAAAAAAGGGCGCTGTGGGAAGGACATACGGATAGGATGTAAGAACTGTTCTTGAGGATGCCAATGTTTGGGCAATGAATCCTCAACGTCCCTCCAGGGTGCTAGGAATACTATGCAAACACAATGGCTATGGCTCGAATTACGAAACAACCGATTTGCTGGTCAGCAATTGGTGGGTTCCATGTGGGTTCCATTTTCCAGGGAGTGATAGAGCAGCATTGCTTGGACCTGGCCGCACAACCTCTGGTCACATACACCTTTTCAAGCTGGCTGCAGGTTGACCCATGCTGATAGCAACCGCCAGCAACTTTTTGGTGTAGATTAAGTATGACTAAGTCATACTAAGTCTAAATTAAACCCCCAGACCCAGAAGGCTGCACATGCCCCTTGTCTTCAAAGACGTGTCAGAAACTGGACCGAGAGGACACCAGCCTTATGAACGGCCTAAGCCCGGCAAATGCAAACTTCAAATCCGTGGAATTGTGGTCACCATGTCGAGCACTTCAACTTGAAAGTTATGGCAATGGTCCTAATCTGACATGACAAGGCACGGCTTCAACTTTCGTCGGCCAGACAAAAAGAGGTGTCGCCCATGGAGTCGACTCACTGGCTTTTTTTGAAATATGCACGAAATACGTGCAGGATATCGTAGGATCATCTAAGATCTTCTAAGATCTTTAAAGATCATCTACTCTCTGGTTATTTAACATAGCCATGGTATAGATGGCCCATTTATAGTGGATTTACCCATGAAAAATGGTGATTTTCCACGGCTATGTTAAATAACCAGATGGTAAGATTCTCCAGGATCATGCAGAGATATTCAGAGTCACCGCATCTTCTTCCCACCTAAGAGTGACATGGTGACCATTGCATTGGAATGGCATCGTCAGCTGCGCTCGCGGTCGACGATGCTAGGCTCCATGCCTGCTTTAAACCGTGCATTTCACCCAGGGTTCGCTTGTAGAGGGTTCACCCCCCTAAACAGCTTGAAGTTATAGATGTTAAATGGATGTTCGTCATCTCCCTCATTTTACGCCCATGACAAAAGTTTGACCCCCGAATTGGTCAGCATGGGTCGTTGCGTTGAGTGCCTACGAATTGGATGGTGGTTAGTATGGTACTGAAAATGACCCAAATCTCTGGGTCTTCAAGTTTCACCCTCATTTCTAGCCCTCATTTAATCATTGAACATTCACATCCATATGGATCGTTGGTGCATGACAAGAAATCATCGAACCCACGTCCTTTTTCAAAAGAAACGCTCCAGTGATGAAGGTAGAAACTGTGGTTGCTGTGGTTTTTCAGAAATTCAGCTGTGACCTGTCTACTGTCTACAGTTATCAATCGACCAACCACTGGGGATGAATATAAGCTACAATTGCTTCAAGAGTCTGTCAGTCAACCCGGCGTGTGACCGTGTCGCCGCCCGGTGGTACCGACAAGTCAGACTCGCCGTGGCTGGAAACTATGCCCATGGCTGCAAACTCATTCAGGGAAATTGATCTCTGGGGGAAAACTCAACACTCACTTACAGTGGATGGTGGATGGAGAAGGAATATCATAAGATACTATATTTGCATTACATATCATAATAGATGTATATCTGAAACTTGAGTGGATGTGCAACACGGCTCGCGAAATCGAAGCAGCCACTCAGCCACTCAGCCACTCTGCCAGAGAGGCTGGACCAGCCACTCAGCCACTTAGCCACTCTGGCAGAGCGGCGGACGCAGCCACTCAGCCTCTCAGCCACTCAGCCACTCTGAGTGACTGAGTGGCTGAGTGGCTGGTCCAGCCACTCTTACCAGAGCGGCTGAGTGGCTGAGTGGCTGGTCCAGCCTCTCTGGCAGAGTGGCTGAGTGGCTGAGTGGCTGGTCTAGCCACTCTGGCAGAGTGGCTAACGTAGCCACTTAGCCACTCAGCCACTCTGAGTGACTGAGTGGCTGAGTGGCTGGAGAGCCATTGGCGTGTAAGCAATATTACCCAGACCTAATTTTTCTTAGGTCTGGGTAGTATCTCAAGTGAGGTTTTATGCTAATTTAGGGTTCCTTCCTTTATTCATCCAGGCACTGGGGCATATATTCTTATGGGTTGAATGGAATCTTAGGCAAACAGGCAAGCATCTGTGTTAAAGGGTTGTGAGAAAGAAGTCATTAGTCATTTGAGTTAAAGGGGTTCGCTCTGTGGGTCTCTGCGGATCATCATGGCGAAAGGAATGAGACATTTGGCTATAGTTCCAATGTTTTCATACAGTATATGCATGTTATTAAAGAAATTACATATAAATATATATATATATTATATAGATATAGCTAGACACAAACACACCTAAGGTCATATCATCCACCTCCATCATTTCATCATTTACCACAGTTCATTTTCACAACAGTTCATATCATTTCATCACAGTATCAACACAAAATAAAACCACATAATTTCATACATCATCATCCCACATCATTTCATCATCATCCATCATCACATAAATTCATATCATAAAATTTCATCATAATATTTCATCAAAATTTATTATTATAAACTAATAATTAACATAGACCCGGGCAAGCCGGCGGCGGAAGTTTCCCAAACATAAATGACCTATAGTTCAAAGACAACCTGTCCCGACCGTGTCCTTCCCTCGACACTCCACACCTCACACTGCACACTGCACTCTTCGCACTTCAAACTTCAAACTTCACACTCCACACTTCACACTCCACACTTTCACTTCTCACTGCTTCCTTCACACTCCAAACCTCACACTTCACACTTCACACTTCACACTGCACACTTCACACTTCACAGTCCACACTTCACACTTCACACTTCACAGTCCACACTTCACACTTCACAGTCCACACTTCTCACTTCGCACTTCACACTTCACACTTCACACTCCACAGTTCACACTTCTCACTTCTCACTGCTTCCTTCACACGCCAAACTTCACACTTCACACTTCTCACTTCGCACTTCACACTCCACACTTCACACTCCAAACTTCACACTTCACACTTCTCACTTCGCACTTCACACTCCTCACTGCTTCCTTCACACTCCTAACTTCACACTTCTCACTTCGCACTTCACACTCCACACTTCACAGTCCACACTTCACACTTCTCACTTCTCACTGCTTCCTTCCCACTCCAAACTTCACACTCCAAACTTCACACTTCACACTTCTCACTTCGCACTTCACACTCCACACTTCACTCACACTTCACTCACACTTCACACTTCACAGTCCACACTTCACACTTCTCACTGCTTCCTTCACACTCCAAACCTCACACTTCACACTTCACACTGCGCTCTTCGCACTCCACACTTAAACTTCACACTCCACACTTCACGCCCCACACGTCCAACTGCTCTAAACTTACGTGCAACAAAAAAAACTAGCGCCAAAATGGAGAAAATCATAGGGCTTTGGGTCTGATGTCTGAAAAAAAAATGGCCCAGAAAGTCATACATTCAACAAACCACAAAACTCCAACCCATGCTGCACAAGGCATTGAGAGGATCTCAGTGAGAGCTTGCATTGACTCGCTCCCATGACAGCTTTGTTTTTTCACATGTATGCAATACGATCATGGTTGTTTGTGCGGTTCGTAACAACGCACACATAAACCAAAAGCAAGTGACAGAGGCATTCTGCGGTTCGCAAGGCTAAATGAAAGGCGAATCTACTGAAGGACAGCAATTCAAACTCGGATGCGGTTCATAACAACGCACACCCAGCCCTTGGCAGTCAAGCGAGAGTCGATCCCAATCGCTGATGGTGTCCTTGACCCATCAGCGACCAGCACGTCATGCACAACACATGGCCATCCAATGCCTGTGCAAAGTCAAGTGGTTATAGTGGTGAATTACAGGGATCGGACTATGGGAATTTATTACTTAAACTACGCTTGGCTTGTGCAACCGTGGCGTCTGCGTCCCATCCTCAAAGATAACATGTGCGACACAGGCAGCACATAACTGCATACCCGCGTGCGTGTCTTGTGAGAGGCCACGTGGTTGTAGTGGTGAACTACAGGGATCGGACAATGGTAATTAATCACTTAAACCACGTTGGGCTTCTGCAAGAGTGGCATGTGCGACCCTGTCCTCACAGACAACATGTGTCACACAGGCAGCACCTAACTGCATACCCGCATGCAAGGCCTGTGAGAAGACTACGAGTTGCTGCTCTAAAACAAGAATAATGGTGAGATTCACATCCTTATGATCTAAGACAATAATCATGTCCGCGGGCCAAAACACCGAACGAACAGTGGAACCACAAGTTGCTCACATGTCCAAAACAATTCTTTCTCAATTACTTGAAGCAGAAACATGTGTTAGCAATGGCATTTCTCGAATGCATATGTACCAAAAACACATCATGTCTGTTTCTGTTACCCATAACACA